GGAATTTCTCTCTACCAACAAGCAAGCAAGCAAGCAAGTAAGCGGGTTTGTAACATAGGCCTCAGTTGGGTATCCTAGAATTGAATTCAGTTCTGACACTTAACTACCTGGAGAGAGTGTCAGATGCCATAGGTGAGATCTCAGTCCTCAATACTCACCCCCTCCCTTAAATGCCAGTTTCAAGTCCCAGTTTGTTTTACCTGTGCTTCTGGAAGACTGTCAGACAGTCCCTCCTCCCCCAGTAGGTGTGATTACTTTGCTTGAATGGCTTACAGCATTCAAAAGAAACCTTAACGTTACCCATTTATTACAGAGGATATTCTAAAGAAGAAAGAGAAAGAGAAGCACAGGCAAGGTGTGAGAGAAGGGCAGGAGCTTCCATCTTCCACTCTTGAAGAACAGCTGTGTATTGAGCCACCCAGAATCTCTAAATCTCTGTTCTTCTGAAAAGCCTCAGAGCACATCTAAAGCTAGTAGACTAGTGAGGGGATCCAACAAGCCTGTCTACTTGAGCATTATTCTTGGCCTTTTTGCACACCATTCTGTAGTGCCCCTCTGTAGTGAAGATAGAATTTTATGACATTTTGGGTGAGGGTAGGTCACGTTTTTTTTGTGGCCCGCTCCAAGACAAGAAAGTAGAGGGACGATTGGAGTTTCTATGACCTACCTTAGGGAAGAGAAATTGCACTTTCTGTGTCCCCCAAATGAAAATATGAGTATCATACTCAAAGTAGTATTTTATTACTATTATGAAATAATTACCTACATAGTCGATAATCATTTATTTCAAAAAGCTTTTTATTTTCTGGTTTTTATTCTTATGACTACATCTTTATTTATTTATTTATTTATATTTATTTATTTATTTAGTCCATCATGGGGCTTGAACTCTGGGCCTGAGCGCTGTCCTTCAGCTCTTCAGCTCAAGGCTAGCGCTCTACCACTTGAACTATAGTGCCACTTCCGGTTTTCTGGTGGTTTATTGGAGATAGGAGTCTCACGGACTTTCCTGCCCGGGCTGGCTTTGAACAGCGATCCTCAGATCTCAGCCTCCTGAGTAGCTAGGATTACAGGTGTGAGCCACCAGCGCCCAGCTTTTGATACTTTTATTTTGTATACATCTTATTGTTGATATTAGTATACATGATTCATAGGATATATATATATATACACATATAAATGTGATTATATATATATATATATATATGTGAATGAATATAATATGTCACTACCACACATTTTCCAAAAGTGGTAATGTCAATTTCTGTTCATGCCAACAACACTCCACTTGTCCCACAGCTTTGTTTTTTTACTTTAATTAATTGATTAATTAATTTTCCCCTACAGCCCTCTTCAGTACCAATAGCCCACAGGTAGAAGCCAGACAATGGTTTGGGGCCACAGTTTGCTCTGGCCTGGGTCACTTACTTAGTTTTGTTAGTCATGTCTCTATAGCCTTTCCAATGACATATAGTGAGATCTTACTTGTTTGTGTTTTCTTTTTTACATTTCTCTGTTAATAAAATGGATTATCTTTTCATAAGTTTTATGTCTATTTTTGTTTTTAATTTATTTTTTGTTCTTGCCCTGGGGCTTGAACTAAGGTTTGGGCACTCTCCCTCAGCTTGTTTTGTTTTTTTTTTTTTCCCTCTCAAAGCTGGTGCTCTATCACTTGAGTCACAACTCCACTTCTGGCTTTTTAGTGCTTAACTGGAGATGAAAAGTGCCTGGACTTTCCTCTCTAGGCAGGCATTGAACCATGATCCTCAGATTGCAGCCTCCCAAATAGCTAGAATTATAAGTGTGAGCCACTGGTACCCAGCTTTATGTCTATTTTAAGTTGTGTTTTTTCATAAATTTCTCTGAATGTAAATATTTGAAGTCCAAATAAAATCTGGCAGTGTGTTTTTGGAAACTGATCATTTTGAACTGAAGACAGAAATGAAAAATCTCTATAAAAGAGCCCAAGCAATATTCACTAGTGCAAGGCTTGGAGGACTTTTACTACTAGATACTAACTCTTATTGTAAAGGAACAGAAAGGAAGGCAAAGTGGTATTGGCACAATGTCAGATATGTAGGATGGAGTAGAATTCAGAGACAGAACCACCCATACATGCTTTGCTGTGCTGGTGTATGATTCAAACTCCATTTTAATTCAGTGGGGGGAAAAGAATCTTCTAAAGAAATGATGCACAAGCAGTTGCTTTTTTTTAAATTAAGGAGTAAAAATTTCTAATTTTGATGAAGTCTTCTATCTTTATCATTTTCTTTATAGTTTGTGCTTTTTGTTTTGGGTTTCATAAATTGTTTCCAAACTCAACAATGAAGTAGGTCATAAAGTTGGTTTGTTTGTTTTTGGTTATTGTTGTTAGTATGTATATCATGTAAAGGAATCCATCAAATGAGTTAGAGCCATTTGAAGTTAGTTGTAGAGACTTATATACTAGAGATGCTTTTATTAGCACATTTACTTATATAATTATTAAACCCAGGAAATGTAATAATGCTAGCATGTCATTATCTGGTTAGTTGCCTTATATTATCTAGTTAACTGGCTCATTCTTTATTTTTCCAGTTCAAGATCTAACCAGATGTAACCCATTTCATTTATTTAGTTTCTCTAATTTGGTGTGGCTTTAGTGGTAGAGTACTTGTATAGCAGGCATGGGTCTCTAGTTCAAAATTCTAGTAGCCCCTCCCCCGAGCCCTATTAATTTCTCTTAATCTGTAGTAGTTTCTTTTTAGTTTTTATCTTATTTGCATTTTGAAAAATGGAAAGAAGATATTTTTCTGTTTCCTTATTGTTAGGATTTAAATTATACATATCTTATAATATCATCTAATTATCACTTGAGACTTAAATTGCAAAAGTTAAGCTCTGAGATAAGACATTCCCACTAATTGCAGATATCTACTTGCTGTTAATGAGAGAACAACTTACCAGGCAGTTATTTTCGATAGATAAATTACTTTGTTCATGCTAACTAAGTCTGAGAGATCAGCTGGCATTTAGAAATCTGAGCTTAGTTAGATCTGTGCTTCTAGTTGCTATATAGGTGTTCTAATAGACACTTCTGTAGGATCTCTTTGTAATGACCTGGATTGCAAAGACTTCAGTCTTAGAGTAAACTAATTTTGGTAGGGTAGAACTGAATCTCCAGATAAACTGGGTTGCAGCTTAAGTTGCTAAAGGTTTCTTAAATATATAAATTGTCATTTGAAGCAACTGTCACTCATTTTTTTTTATTGTGAAAATACCGTACAGAGGGGTTACAATTACATGGGCAAGGTAATGAGTACATTTCTTATCAAGCATTGTTGCCTCCTCCTTTGTTTCCCCTTCCCATCCCTTCCCATCTCCCCCCCTCCACACCCCTTCGCCTTTTGTTGTTATTGCTTGCTTTATTGGTTTGTTGTTTTTGCTGGCCTATGGTTCAGACCCAGAGCTTTGCACATGCTAGACAAGAACTCTGACACTGAGATATGTCCTTACCCATTTTCATTTTTAATTTGAATATCTGTCTGTCTATCTACATCTAATTGATTAAGATATATAGTCTCTGCGTAGCATTGATTGATTCCAGTACTAAGGCGGGGATTAGAAACAGTGAGCCTGGGACAGAATCTTGTAGGGCCAGTGAGTGCTAAAAGTAAAGCCAAACCACAGAGGCATTCACAAGGACAGGGGTATGTACAGGAGCTAGCTGTGAGAGTTCTCAGTGACTCAGCTGGAACAATATAAACAAAATGATTGGTACAAAGTTATAACTCCGAGTATAAAATGATTGTTGTTGAGTTCACGTTGACTTAAGTGATTGTATAAATAATTCGTTGAGAATAGAAATATGTTCTATATTGAAGAATTATAATTTGTGTAAGTACTGTCTCCTGTAAAAAGGTGGAATTTAACCTCCCAGCCATAAAGTGTTGCCTGTGTGTGGCAGTTTTCTCCCAAAGGATATTACACGGAACAGGGAGGAAACAAAACTTGACAGTGGAAAATCCTGACAGATACTAAGTGATTAAATTAGTCAACATTAATATTGATATATTATGCTAATAATATGTACACTTGATGGGAGATGATAAAAACAATATTTTACCTCTGTTTTCTGTTTCCCACACACCCATAAACCTAGTTCAGTAATGGCAGAAACGCCAGACAAATCTCAGTGAGGGACCTTTTGAAAATAACTGATGAACATTCTTGGGTACTACTGAAGTCTCAGGACCCAGGAGAGCTTGCAAAACTGTGGTAGACACGATGACCTTGTGGGGAGGGCCTGATGATTAAGTGTATGTGTGTGGCATGCTGCATGGGATCCTGAAACAGGGAAAGATCATTAGGGCAAAAAGTAAGAAAATGCATATAAGATACAGATTTGTTAGTGTTTGATACTAGTTCATTAATTGTAACAAAGGTACTATTCTAATTTTTAGTAGTAGTTTTCACAATTTTTTGTAAATACTATTTATTTTAAAATTTAGCAATTCTTATATTCACATATGTACAGAATTTATTTATGTATTTATTCATTTTTGTCGGTCATAAAGCTTGAACTCTGGGCCTGAGCACCTACCTCTCAGCTCTTCAGCTCAAGGCTAGTGCTCTACTGCTTGAATCACAGCGCTACTTCTGGTTTTCTGGTGCTTTATTGGAGATAAGAGTCTCATGGTTTTTCCTGCCTGGGCTGTCTTTGAACTCAGATCTCAGCCTCCTGAGTAGCTAGGATGACAGGCGTGAGCCATTGGTGCCCGGCCAGAATCAGTTTTAAGGCCAGTTATCACTAAGAAGTGATAATAGTACTAATAAAAACAATAATTGCACTTAATAGAGCAGATTCTATAACCTAGAGAAGCCCCCCCAGCCCTCTAGCAAGTGAGCTCTGCTTTGTCCGTATTCCTTCAATGCCCTCTATTTACATTGCCTGCTACTGCAGCAGGTTGAAATAGAGGAATGTGACAGGGTCTGGATCCTAGTCACAAAGCAGTTCAAATATGGGTGGATTTGAAGGTAAGGAATGGTCAGTTATCATTGGAACCAGGCTATAATGACAATGAATTTAATTACCCCAAGAAGAGTCCAGTGATAGAGAAGAAAAAGGTATTTAAGAGAGACCTCTGCATAATACTTACACACAAGGAATATAGTACAGGTAGTAGGAAGATAACTGATCGGAAAAGAAGACTGCTGGGTGGCCTACTAAGAGTTTTCAGATGGGCTGGGAATGTGGCTTAGTGGTAGAGTGCTTGCCTAGTATGCATGAAGCCCTGGGTTTGATTCCTCAGTACCTCATAAACAGAAAAAGCTGGAAGTTACGCTGTGGCTCAAGAGGTAGAATACTAGCCTTGTGCCAAAGCAGCTCAGGGACAGTGCCCAGGCCCTGAATTCAAGCCCCAGGATTGACAAAAATAAAGTTTTCAAAATTGTATTGTTTAACAGTATTGATGTTATTGATGAATTTTGTAAAGCAGCAGCCATGCAATGGCTTTAAAGTTTGAATGAATGAAATTTATGGGTTTGGAAAAGTAAAAGCAGATAAATATCCTAAATTATCCTTGGTTCTAAAGAAAAGACATAGATAAGGTGCTATTTAGTATTGACTTTTAACGAAGAACGGCTAGGGGTGGCAAAAATATTTGTTTTGCTTATTGTTATATTGCAGTGCCAAGAGTACTTCCAGGTATTTTCATTATGTTTGTTGCAGGACTTAGAAAGTCTTGAGCCCTTTGTAGAGGAAGAATACATAGCATTTCTCAGAAGTGATTTATTGAATAAAGTTTCTAAACAAGTAGAGTATTGAGAAAGGAAATGTTATGATTAGATATGGTTGAGACATTCAGCACTAACATTTTTGCAGAAATCTAATCAGTTTTTTTCAACTTTATTTTCTCTATGTGGTTTGCACTGTTCATTATTGGCACCGAATACAAACTGGGAGAGTATTTTTTTTTTTTTTTGGGTGGGGGGCAGTAATTTATCTGTAGTAGTGCTAAATACCTCCCAAAGAATCAAGCATGATTTGAGGCAGTTTTGGTTAAAGCAAGGAGTAAGTGAATTTACTACAATTTTGCTTTATTTTTCCATTTCTGTTCAGTCTACAAATAAGAAACCTCGGAAATCTCCAGGAGAGAAAAGCCGCATTGAAGCTGGAGTTAGAGGAACAGGCCGTGGAAGAGCCAATGGGCACCCCCAACAGAATGGCGAAGGGGAGCCTGTTACGTTGTTTGAGGTGGTGAAGCTGGGGAAAAGTGCAATGCAGGTAAATCTTTAGAATGTTTTAGCTCGCGTGTGTAGAGCAAGAAGTTGAAGGGTTCCTGTGCAGCCAATGGATTGGCACTGCACACAACTCACTCCCCTCCCCGCCCCTCATCCTTCTCCTCCTGTTCTCCCTGTGACCACTTGCTGAAAAGCACAGATCCTGCCACTGAGGCACAACCTCAGGCCCTAAACTTCTAACCCAAAGAATTTCATTCTTAATGGTTTTGCTGCTGCTGCTGCTGCTGCTGCTTCTTCTAAATAAAGGACACAGGAAAGACATTTTTTGTTGTTTTTCACTAGTCATATACTTTAAATTGTGCCGAGTACATGGGCTCTGGATAATGGAAGTTGCAGACTTGAACTTTAGGTATCACCTTCTCTCTTGGCTTTTATTTCGCTCACAACTGGGGCTCTACCACTTGAGCCACAAATACCCCTGCACCACCCTTACCCTGCCCTGTCTTCCCTGCCTCCTGTAATAAATAGATAAATAAAGAGTATCTCAGTTTTGTCTGCCTATGTTGCTTGGAACCCAAATTCCCATCTCTCAGCCTCTTGGGTAGCTAGGATTATAGTTGTGAGCTACCAGAGCCCAGTTCCAAGGGAATTTTTATAGTCTCAGCACAACCTTTAGAACTGGATTTAAAATAAGTAACGTGTGTTTCTGAGTATTTGACAAAAGAAAGGATGATCTTGTATAACCTTACTGTCTTTTATCTCTGCTTATTTATTCAACAGACTGTTAGGTATTCTGTAAGGGCATGATTTAGCCTTTTTAGTAAATCATTATAAGGATGATTTTAGTGTTTCTTTAGCATATGGTTGAATTGTTTTTAACTATTTTAAAGAATATTACTCATGCTTGTATCTGTACATATTTTTCACTTAAAAATCTTAGTGGTAGATTTTTTTTGGAGAAAGGAATTTTTTTTCTAATGTGTGGCACTAAAAGAATTGAATGTGGCTGAAATGTGGTTTAGAGGTAGAGTGCTTGCCTAGCATGCATGAAGCTCTGGGTTCAATTTCTCAGTACCACACACAGAAAAAGCTGCCAGTGGTGCTGTGGCTCAAGCGGTAGAGTGCTAGCCTTGAGCAAAAGAAGCTCAGGGACAGTGCCCAGGCCCTGAGTTCAAACCCCAGGATTCACGGGGTGGGGGGTGGGGAAGAATGTATTTACTTTTTATCAGCATTGTGGCAGAATATGCTGAGTGTAGTGGGATGTGTCTGTAGTCTCAACACTGGGGAGGCTGAGGCAGGATGACTTTTGAGTTCAAGGCCAGTTTTGACTACATAAAGAGATTAAGTAAAAAGTAAACAAATACTTTAAAAACAACAAAAAGAACTGTAGCAGAAGGTCTACTTTGCTGTAGTAGAATTAGCAATTAGATATTTTATATTTAAAATTTATTTGATACACAGGTGAAAAATGGTCACTTATTTTTTTCAGCATTTTTTAAATTGTGATTAAGTGATTACATAAATTTCACAGTATTGTGAGATAATACTTAGTTAAAGTCACAAACACATCCTAACCTTCATGGGGCAAATTGTCTATTATGGTCTATAAAGTTTATGAACTCTATGGGCTTTGACTATACAGTTATTTCTTCCACATCGGGTGATATATACATTTCTTTCCTTTTGCTTCGGGTCAGCTGTTCCCTCTTTCCCACTCATTCCCTCCCTCCCATTACTGCCATTGAGTTGCTTTAGTTCGTTTTGATCAATGTCCAGTGCAGCTGATGGGTCCCTCTGTTGTAAGTTTTCCCGTTTCCCTCTGTTTCTGTGTCCTCCTCCTAGTTGTCCTCCAATGTGCACATATATACCATACATGTGGTTAGCATGGTCACTTACTTTAATTTGCATTTCTTTGATCAACAATGATCGATAGGTAAAATTGGAGTGTATTTGCCCTATTTTTCAATTACATTCTTAGTTTAAATGGAAATTCTTTTTATAATTTATTTAAAGTAATTACTTTTAGGACGGAAACAATTTGCTGTTTGCGTATCTTTTATTTTCCATCCATATTTCATTTTATACAAGTCCTGTAGGGAGTTGGTTGGCTATTGTTTTTTGTGTATGTGCAGTTGTCTTAGAAGCAGTGTGTGTGTGGGTACAATGTGGAGCAGAGTGGCGTGATGGGTAAAACAGATACTGGATTCCCAGTTAACCAAAGCAGTCATTGACAGTTTAAAAACTGACTTTCACCACTGTCTCACACCTACTCACTTTAATAGAAAATGGTTAATAAACTACAGAAATAATAGTTTTTGAGATCTATTTTATTGATTCCCATATAAATAAGCAGAAAAATTAGAGAAGCAACTGTTTACGGAAATTGAACTGTTTATGGAAATTTGTAATCATTTAGCTTTAACATTTTGCTTTCATTTTTTTCATGTAAAACTTAGTCATGTATGTATATAAAGAAAGACATTTTTGTTCTTGTTGTTGATTGTGGGGCCTGAACTCAAAGCCTAGGCGCTGTCTCTGAGCTCTTTTGCTCAAGGCTAGAAATTTGTCATGAAACAATCTCGTATTTATGTGTTTGATATGTATATATAAATATTTCAGCTGGGAGTCAGTAGCTCATGCCTGAGATCTGAGCATCCCCGTTCAAAGCCAGCTCAGCCAAGAAAGTCTGTGACACTCTTACTTCCAATTAGCATCCCCCCCCCCGTGTGTGTGTGTGTGTGTGTGTGTGTGTGTGTGTGTGTGTGTGTGTGTGTGTGTGTGTGTGTGTGTGTGTGTGTGTGTGTGTGTGTGTGTGTAGTACAGGCATGAGCTACCTACTCCCAGCTGAAATATTTATATATACACAGTCTGAAACATAAACATGATATTGTTTCCTGACAAATTTCTGAAAGTTCCATTAGTAATGCTTATAATTTCACTGTTATATCCTCAGCTTAAAAATAAAGAAATCAAGCTGCACGCCAGTGGCTCAGACCTGCAATCCTAGCTACTCAAGAGGTTGAGATCTGAGGATTGTGGTTCCAAGCCAGCCTGGGCAAGAAAACCCATGAGTCTCTTACCGCCTAGAAACAATTCAGATAAAGCTGGAAGTGGCGCTGTGGCTCAAGTTGTAGAGCACTAGCCTTGAGCAAAAGACACTCAAGAACAGTATCTAGGACTACACCCCCCCAAAAAAAAAATTATAAATAACCTCTGGAGAGAGAATATAAAGCTAGGCAAGTTTTCATATACCTGTAATCCTAGCACTTGGAAGACAAATGAAGATGGATCATGACAAGGCCATCTTCCTGTCTATAAAAAAAAGGAAACAAACTTTAAGATGGGCACTGATGGCTCATACCTGTAATTCTAGCTACTCAGGAGGCTGAGATCTGAGGATCATGGTTCAAAGCCAGCCTGGGCAGGAAAGTCTGTGAAACTCTTATCTCTAGTAAACCACCAGAAAACCGGAAGTGGCGCTGTGGCTCAAAGTGGTGTAGTGGTAGAGCACTAGCCTTGAGCTGAAGAGCTCAGGGACAGTTCAAGCCCCAAGACTGACCCCCCCCCATTTTTTTTTTAACCTTTTCCCCATCCCTCATTTGCTTCTCAGCTCTTCTGTTGAGATGATCACTTCCCATCTTTTCATGGTTGTATGTAGAAGTATCTTTCTGTGTTCCCCACTGAACTCGGTCCCTGAACAGTCCCTACCTCACCAAATTCCTGCAGTGGGTTTAAGGCTTGCATGAGATGTGAGCTTGGTAGGCAGTAGAGCTGCCAGTTTACCAGTTTACTCACCAGAGCTTATAAATTGGTTAGGTGTCAAATCTGTATATATCAAATGTGGAAGAATTCTCTTCATGCTTTAGGCCGGCATGGGTTTTATTCTGTGACTGTGCTAAAAGTGAAAAGCCCCCGTGGGCTTTATGCAAATCTTCTTTTAACTTGAATTTGAGCTGACAGTTATGTAGTAACTTGCAGGACAGTTTTGCTTTTCTGACGAAGTGGGGAAAGTTTCTAGTAATTTTTAAGTTGAATTTAATTTGTTGATTGATTGTAATGGAATTTGGACTTAGTTATTTTGGAGTTATCTGGCATTATGCCTAGACTGGCCTGGTCTGGGGTTTTCCAACGTCTGCCTCCCTGTGTTATTGGAGAGGACAGGTACGTGCGACGCTGCCATTGTGGATCCCCTGTAGCTGGAATAGCAGGCAGTAGTCACTGTACTCGGCCATTGGCTCAGCTGAATCCCTCAAATTTCTTTTTGTCCGGGCCAGCCTCGAACTGGCATTTCTCTGGTCTCTATTTCCTAAGTAGCTAGAATTACAAGTTGAGCCACTGTGCTTAGCTATACTAATTTTTTAACATGCACTGTCAGAAATGCTTAGTAGTCTCAAGAAGTATTTAAATGTCTAAGAACTGTAATTACAGGAGACATTAAAGAACAAATACACCATTGACTAAAATGACATCAGGCAAAGATGAGCAAATAGAAATATTGCAGTGTAGATGAGGTATGGAAATAAGCAAATGCACATACTTGAAGAAAACTAACCTGAGTGTAATTAAAAATGTGTCAACTGACTACAGTATAAAATAAGTATATTTACAATATTCAGATTAAATTTGGGTGAGGGTAACAGCAAAATCAAGTAACAGAAGTTTATTTCTTGTAAGTAAATACACAATAGATACAAATGCTTAGGAAGTATTTATAGATGTCATGTTGGGCTATGATATGAATATCTCAACTGTAAACAGGAAGGACCATCTGAGAAAACATACCCAACACATTTTTTAAAAAGCCTCCATACATTAAAGCTTCAGCCTTATTTACAGTGGATTGCCAAATAATTACATTGTTAATACCTTCATAGTCATTAAAGTGTGGATAGCATATCTTTAGTGGCTTTTTTTTTTAAGTAAAACTTTTTTTGGGGGGGTGGGGGTGGTCATGGGGCTTGAACTCTGGGCCTGGGCGCTGTCCCTCAGCTCTTCGGCTCAAGGTGAGCGCTCTACCACTTGAGCCACAGCGCCACTTCCGGT